TTCCAGTAAGATTATTGTTGGATAAATTACTATACATATTTCCATACGACAAAATGTCAAAAATCATGGAATCACACAAAGGTATTATAATCCAAAGTGAGTATTTCAAAATCTTAAAGCAACCAAATCAACAAAAATGTGTACATTGCTAGTGAGAGAATCTTACATGGTTGTGATATTCTCAATGAGCTTATTTGTAGGTAAGGGTCCACTTAGATGGTTTGAGCTCAGCTCCCTGAAATTTATATAAGAGAAATGGAAATAATAGTCACATTTAATTTTCTAATAGGAAAGTCATTCCATCATGAGGAACAAACACATGAACTTACAAATAACCAAGGTTAGATATTCCACTTAGGTCAGGGATTGATCCTTGCAAGTTGCAGTTCTTGAGACTCCTGATAATTTAACCAATAAAAATGTTCAGCATCACAAAATTCCACACACCTTCAAGTCCACATATGCTTTCTAATAGTCATTTTCAATGCATGTTAAAATTATTAGGGACAGCTATATGATGCTTATTAATTAAGTAGTATAGTATTTAAGGTATTTCATGTTTACAATAGTTTCATTTTATCCTAGTGCGTAAGCAAAACCTAATTTCACTTTGAAAATTATCCTTCTAAGTTGTATTAGTTTCTCTTTAATGTAAATATGGTTTTAGAGAAATTTCATTGTTTCTTGTTTCTATTACTAATGATTTTTAACCGCTATTTGCTTGTAATGGTGAAACCATGTAAATATTGGTTTATAGAAATTTCAAATATGTAGTCTTATCACGTATAAATATATTAATAAGATGGTAGCACTCCTCTCCTCATCTCTACCTTCTAAATCTATATAATGCCAAGATAGGGTTCTAGTAAGCACTTACAACTTCAACAATGTAGGTATGTTTCCAAATGATCCTGGAATAGTAGCCCCATCAAAGTTGTTATTGTCAAGTTGACTGCAAAAGGTAGAAATGGAAACTGTTAAGGAAATTAAAGAAGATTATCAATTGAAATTTGAAATCTAAAAGCATTTTCATGTAAGATTATAAAGATGTACTCAAGAAAAGAATGATCAATAGAAGAAAAATATACAGGATAAATCTAATTATGGACTTTATTAATGAGAAAAAAAATGTTCATGTTTGTATTTTATATATAAATACCTCAGCTTCGTCCTATTATTTTCCTCCTCCTTGTGTTGAATAACTAACAAGGTACAATTTATAACTCTCACTCTCATTTTACATTTTCATTTAGCTATCCAGCTATCCCACAACAATCAGAATAAACGACTTGGAAGCATGAATCTCTATCAAAATATTTCCAGGAAAGTAAAAAAAACATACAGGATGGTTAAATTCGGCATTTGGGCAAGCTCTTCTGGGCGATACCCTGATAAATTGTTATTGTGAAGAAGGCTGCATAAGAAAAATTGAATGGAGCCTTAGAAGGAAGTTGAGTTGCACAAAATCACAGACAAGTTAATGCTACAGATATATGACAAGACAAAAATAGGAGAAATTAACCTGTGATAAACTTGCAAGTGTACAATATTTGCTAATTTGGAGAGCTCTAGAGGGATTTGTCCACTAATTGAATTATTATTCATGTGACTGCTCAAAAGCAAAAAGAACATAAGGAATAGATTGAAAATATAAGAAGGAAGACAAAGTGAAAACAACAAGGGACACTAGTAGTGGCTATTTCAGAAATGCCCTTACAAATGGCTTGCTTTGTTTAAGTTTGCAAATGATATAGGTATTGGTCCAGATATGTTATTCTCGTCTATTTGAAGTACTTCTAGATTCGGCAGATAGCCAAGTTCATTAGGCAAGGAACCTGTCAATTGGTTGCCACTCAAGAGCCTGCAAAATAGATCCATACCACTTCTAAATGAGCAAATAAGAAAATTTGATGCAGATATGCAGTATTACAATATTGATAATAAGATAAAAAATAAGCTAGAAAATCATTGTTAAAAAAATTTAACTTATAACAGCTCCAAGGTTGTGATATTGCCAATCTCTTTTGGTATACTCCCACTAATTCTGTTCCACATAAAACTCCTGTTACAATGGAAATGAATGATAAACCATCATTAGGTGAAAAATTATAAACCTTCCAAGAAAGATTGACATCAAGGTACCTTTCGTAATATACTTAGCCTCACAATATCAACAGACGAGACAAGCGGCCAAGTGCTGGTGATAAAGTTCCTAAAAGATCCATATTCAGTAGTTGCCTGCATGAAAAAAAAAATGGAGAAAGCAATATAGCATAGTTGTTAATTAGTAAAAATTTCAAAAAGCAATCAGGTGAAATTTTACTAGAAGTTGATATCTAGTTTTTGTGGGCTTGTTGACATTTAGAAAATTCTTGACATAAAAACAAAGAATAATGATGCATGCACATTCCCATACCACACACTCCGTTACATCCTTCCATTTCCCTTATTTTACAGTTAATTACACTTAACTCTGTTACCACCTCTTCAGCCATCTCCCAACTCACCCAACCCATTCTGTCCTCACCAGATCCATCTTCCTCCTCACCTTCATCCATTTCCTAATCATCTGCAAGACAATTGCCAACCTCTTCCAAGTTCTCACCTTCTTCCTTTTTTCTTTTTTTTTTCTTTTTTTTTTTTTTGGTTTTTCTGGAGAACCTAGACCTGGGTTCTTCTCAGAGAACCCAAATCCGGTTCTTGGTGGGTTCTCCGGGAAGAACCTAGGTCGAGCTCTCTTGGAGAACCTGATTTGGGTTCTCAAGAGAACCCAAGAGAAAAAAAAAAAAGAAAAAGAAAAAGGAAGAAGGTGGGAACCTGCTACGGTAAGAGTATAATGGAGATTAACCGACTGTGTGGGAATTAACGGAAAAAAGAGCATGTAATGGAAGTGTGGTACGATTAGTATAAACCATGGTCCAAAAAGAAAATAGCAATAACCAGTTTAGCGCTATGATATGATGAGGGCTTATAGCAGCAACTTTTCAATGATATTAAGATGTATTAGCAAGTGTTCTGATTAGTACCTAGACCTATATATCTTGGTTGAATGACTGCAGTGATGGGTAATTTGTCCATAAACATGCAAAACTAAATTGACAACTAAAGCTTACAATTCTGTGACATGCAGATAGCCATCATCTGGGGTTGTATTAGAGCATAAAACTCCAGTCCAATTGGATGTGCATGGATCTCCTCGATTCCAATTAGTCAAATTTTTCTTGATGGTTTGCAATGCACTCACTGCAAATTGTAATTAACATTAATTAATTCATCCAAATGAACGTTATGATTTTGGAATATGAAAGAGTAAATCAAACCCCACAAGATGAAAGTGCAAGCTACTACTAGACTTTAAAAAGAATAGAGCCAAGGAAACTATATGTGCTCGGTAATATTTACACGTATGAGTCACATATCTCAAAAAGTACTAAAACAAATATAGTCCTGTTCTTAAGGCACAATTAATGTAAACCCAAGCAATAAAACTGCGAGGGCAAATGGCAGAAGCTCAAGCAAAATCACCTGGTGGCCTCTACCATTGAATCAAGATACAAAAAAAGATACCTTCATCTGGATGAGTTTTGAAACTTTGTGCCCCAACAAGAGCTGAATACAAGAAGAAGCACCCTAGAAGGACACAGTTTTGTTTTGGACATCCCAAGATAGCAGAGTTCACCAGAGTTGTGAAGCATCTCTTATCACTACACAGACCAGAAATGGGAGTCTTCCATTCAGCACTAGAAGAAAGCAACAAAGACTGAAAATTTAGGGTCCGTTTGGTCCACAGAAAGCTATTTTCAGAAAATTAACATTCTCTGTATTTTCCAATATTTTGTAGCTTTCTGAAAAATAATTCCAAGGAAATTAAATGTAGTGAACGGAACAGCAATAGGCAACTTTCGGAAAATGACTTCCGGATTGAATCTCTGAAAGTTGTTTTCCAACTTCCAAAACACGCGGTTCCTGGGGATCCGACTTGCAAAATAAGCAGGTTTTGGGGTTAAAACATTAAAGTTCAAGCAACTCCATTTGCACCAACAAGTAACATCATTTTACTCCGGCAACTACCAACAAGTAGGTCGGCCATTTGCAGAGTGAAAATTTGTCGGCCATTTGTCTGGATAACAGGAAGCTATTGCATAAACCTCATTATTTCTTTTTCCATCGTTTTCTTCTCACATTTTCTCTGAATTGTACGAGAATAATTTCGTCTCTTTGTTCATTTCCTTCTCTTTGAGACCTGAATCCAAA